TTTCCAGATATATTGTAAATATAATAATAATCAATTAAATAATTTTGATAAATTTCTTTTAATAATTATTTAAAAAATTTTTTTTTGTTAGATCCTATAATGCACCAATTGATGATATTCGTAAAAAAATTAAAAAAGCAGATGATAGCAACAATGGCGAAGAAAATCTCCCATATATTCCGAATAAGCTTAGAGAACTTGCTGGAGTGGATAAAAAAAAAGAAATTGATCAACAAAAGAATCCAAAAAACTAATTATTAGATTTATTATTTTATTTTTATTATGATTATTATTTATTTATAAATTTATATAATAAATTCAAAGTTAAAAAAAATCAATATACTATATATTTCGTGATAACGCGTCTAGAATCGGGAAATTTGTCAAGTATTAGTATTAGTATTTATTTAATAATCAAAGTAATCACATGTATCAATTAGTAAATTAATGTTTGTAAAACACATGCACAAAAAGATACGATTGAAAATAAGATAAAAAATTCATTAAATAGATGATGGTTTAGATATATCAATGCGAATACCTTTGGAAAATAATTTAGAACAGATATGTTATTTAGAGTTCACTGAAAGTGAGATTACTGCATTTCAGAAGTTGTTTTTAAAATCGAATTCGGTTAACAACTTTAGTCTAATACTAATATAAGAGCATTAGTTAAAGTAACAGAATTAATTGTATAATTACAACTTTCATTGTCGTCACCTTTAATGAAGATGGATTCGAATTATACATTCATTCTTCAACTTAGTAAATAAACATTGATTCCAAATGATTACCAATACAAATAACCAAATACTCAATATACGGTACGATAAATCCATCCCCAGAAAAGGCATCAGTCGTAAAATCTGTTCGCCATATACCAATAAAATTAAACCTGCTCACGCAGCAGATATAAAGTTATAATCATTCCCATTAACAATTTTTGGTTTGATATTAAAGAGGATTCTTCTATTCACCGAGAGAGTTGGATTGGTAATTAAAACTGGTTTTTCGAGTTGAACTCGAGAATATTTGGCTTCGCTTTGGTAATTTGCGATCGTATACAGTTCACTCTCTATATATTGGGCATATAAATTAGGCTTAAAATTCTCAGATCAAGCTACATTATAGAGAAATTGGGCTGTATATAGATAGATAACCTTTTCTCAGTTCCCATAATTACCAGAAGTGTAACTTGCCTTCATGCAACCACATACATTGTTTAACTAAGTTCACTTTATCGACAATCACTTTGTTGACAGTTCATTTCATCGATGGTTCATTTCGTCGACAACAACTTCACTGACAGTTAGTTTACATGTTATGATATTATCACTGACTATTTTGATGATTATAATTGATGATAATTATTGTTTTTAATAGTGCGAATCAGACAAATTGACATTTCGTTTGAATCAAAGCTCAGGAAATATTATTTTTCTGATGATGATTATTCTTTTCAAGATGCATGAATTCAGTTATTAATATGCTTGCAAACTAATCCCTTGCCTTTTAACAGCAGAGAGTATTTGAAATTGCGTTAATTCCATGATTAAGTACTCATTCTAACCAGCTAGCACATCTAGGAATTAACGCTAAATCTTAGCACCTAAATTTTCTTTTTTATCTAAATTTCCTGATGCTTCTGAAATCATGATTCCTATAATCAATGCGTATGTTACGCTAAAGTTACATACCCTCCAAAAAGTATCTGGTCGAGTTTTTTGATGACGATCATTTATGTTTTTAAACTAGAGTAGGAGTAATAGATAAGTAATCATCACCTTATATACAGGAAAAAAAAACAAATACAGTATATATAAGAAAGGTTCGTAGTTTTTTGTGCAAACAATTTCCCTATTTGTATTTCTTAGGTCAAGATTTACAAGGCTTTTTGTAATAAACTGAATACAGACATGACTTTTCATTATAAAACTGAACACAGACTTTTCGTATATCTTAAATTTTAGTGTTGAAAAAAAAAGGATCATCCTGTCCACATCTTAATGCCAACACTGCCAAATAATAATAATAATAATAATAATAAAAATGAATTTAGGATAAATGTTTGGGATATCATATATTGAAAGATTTGGTGTAATAATCAATCTACATTTTCTTTTGCAGAAAGAACATGAGGTGGTGATTAATTAATAATATCCCGTTTTATACTTATGAAAAAAAAAAAATATTAATATATTTACAATGTACGACCCCCTTCGTTTTACCATGATAATAAAGAGCATTCGTTTGGAATAACTTGACGTCGTCTTAGTATTATTATTATTTTGGAATATGAATCGTGTCCACACATCAGGTAAGAGGATGTGCGAGTAGTCTAAACCCAAGAATCAAGATCATAATAAAATTCAACAGCTACACATATTGTGAGATCGAATTATTTTAAGATGTGAGTAAAGCTCCTTGGTATTTGTAACCTCAATACTTGATTATAGTAATGCTTGATTTATACAGATGTGGCCGAGTGCTCCTTGGTAGTTTTACTCTCAATTGCAATTGCTTCTCTGATGTGTATGATTTTAATAGCGCTTGGTCCATTGAACTGTGTGGGGGCGATTTTACTTCCCCGTCTGGAAACGTTTTCTCGGCGTTCTCTGTTATCTACATGAGCCGGCACGTTCCCAATATATTTACCTCATAAATATCCGCCTCGGTTCTCTAGGCTTTAGCCGCGATCGGGTTGGGCTTTGTTTATTGTAATGTAGGTTCAGTGTCTGGACTGACCGCACCTAACTAGGGTTTGCTCCTCTTGTGCGTCGGTCTAAGCTAAATAAAGAAAATAAAATCAAAAGAAATATACACAAAGCTATATTTATCAAAGGCGTCCCTCTGGTAAAATAATAAAATAATAATAATATAGTGTCGAATATAAAATAATTATGCACGGGATTATTATGAATTCATTGTTAGAGATAGATTTATTATCATTACGAAAATATAATATTTGAAGACAACAAGGACAAGGACAAGGACAAGGGCATTGTTATTTATTATGGTGATTAAAAGATAATTAATTAATGATTGTGATGATATGATGATATATGAAGTTAAGAAAATTTACAACGTTATTTATGCATGTTAAAGGTTCTATCATCCAGTTCTCTGACTTCTTTTAAATCCTAATTTATTCTAATTAAATGTATTACTTTGAACTTTTTGTGTAGAATTATTTCCTAAAGTGATTCAATAATTTAAATTTCTTCGTTTAAATTAAGTCTAAAAATTAAAGTTTAGAATGTTGTTTGAGATATTTTCCGTGAGTCCGCGAGTCAATTATTTTATTGGTGATTGAATAAAAATATGAAATTGGATACTTTGATCAGTTTTTCCTATTTACTATTTTAAGCATAGTGGAATTTTGTTGTTACACGAAACGTTATACAGAACTCATTGCTTCTGAAACTTCGCCAGTATATAGTTGTTACCTCTCTAAATTGGAGATCAAGTTCAGATCCAGTTTATCACTTACTTTTTTATTGCCAGAATGTTTGCCGTGTATTGTAAAGCTACGTTGCACAATATAAAAAATTAGTGTAACATTTCAAATTTCCATTATGCTACTATTTTACAATATTTATTTGGCTTAATTATTGTGGCGTTATTTTCTGAGTGCAATATAAAAGGCTCATCATCGCCAAAAAAAATTTTTTATGATAATAACAGCAAACAAGTGTTTATAGTCAATTTATTTTATCTATAAAAGTAGAATATATTTATATTCTTATTAACAAAAAAAATTTTTTCAATCAATTCTTTTGTAAAAATGGAAGAAGATGGTAATGATATAAAAGTGGCAATTGAGGAAGATAATGATATAGAAGTAGAGGCAATTAAGGGAGTAAAGTCTATGGGAGCAGATAATACAGAAGAAGAAAATGATAATGATATGAAAATAGAGGCAGCTATTGAAGTAGGATCTAGAGAAGCATTAAGAGCAATATTTAAAGCAGCAACAGAAACAATTATAGCAGTAGGAAGATTTATTACAGAAAAATATGAAATATCAGAAAATATCACTAAAAATCCAATTACAGATTATATAAATGTTGATGCTATTGAACGGGAAACTATAATTGATAATATTAATTATAAGTTTTTAGTAACCCTTGGTAAACAAGATGGATCTATTGCTAGATGGACAATTGATGACAATGAAACAATTCAACCATGTAGCAAAGATTTTTTTAAATATTCTAGAGAAAATATAATGGATGTTCCAGAGAATAAAGTTATACTTGATTGTAGTAAGTATATATGATTATTTATTATGCATATTATAATAATAAAAATTTACATCATTCAAAACCAATTTTATTGACTTGACTTTTCAAAAAAAAAAAGAAAAGAAATATCTAATTGGTGCTAAATTTGGGGGTTTCATTACAAATAATGATTTAATAACAATAAAAAAGGATTTTTTATACTATTTTTCATTTAACGAAAATGATGAATTGGTTCATAAATCAACATATCACATTTACAGTAATTATCATTATAGTGCAATTACAGATTATTTTGTAGATTCTGATTATCTTCTATTAAGTGATAAGTTTTCATTATTATCACTATGGAAATGGAAACCAACAACTATATCATATCAAGATAGTTGCTATTTAATATGTGAAAGAGATCATACTGACATAATATTTAATCAAGACAAAACAATAATGGCATTATATTATAAAAATACTTCAAAAATAATAGTTTATTCAATAAAACATAATATTACTATTTCTTCATGTAAGTATTATTTACAGTCGGCACTCGATATAGTGAAGTTTTTGCTAGTACAAATTTGAAACTATCTTCAGAAAAATTGAATTTTATTGGATTAACGTAGATAGTTTCCAAAATTGTACTAGCCAAAACTTCACTATATCGAGCGCCGACTGTATTTATTTGTATATATTATATTTATTTTTTTATTAATTTTATTAATTTATTTATTTATTTATTTTTTATCTTACAGTTGGATTGGAAAAAAATATCACCATTAAGAAATTAGATTTTATTTGTATAAAAAGTAAAAGTCCATTAGAATGTTTATTAATATTATATTTAAATACAAATAAATACATTTGTAAATTAATGGATCCTTATAATTTAAATAATATTATAAATAATACTGAATATTTTAATGAGCATGTTATAACAAATGCACATGAAGATATCATATTTGGACCAATAATATTAGAGAATAAAATAGTTATGGCTATTAATAATCAAATTTGCATTAAAGAAATTATTAACAAAAAAACATTAGATGTTGCTCAACAAATGTGCACAAAAAATAGCTATTATTTACATTCATATATAGGACAAGCGTTAAGTAGAAAATTTGATAAGTCTCATAAAAGACCAAAAAAAGTTGATATTAAATGGAAAATAGAGCATAAAGATTTTCAAAATCTCAATATAAAAGCTCAAAAAATTGATGATGGAATAAAAGAATTCCCAACAATTGATGAATATGGTATTCATGCCACTGAAAAGTTAAAACATTGTGATTTACTAAATAATAATGATTTGATTTTAATAACACATCAATATATACGCATTTTGTCATTTAATAATCAAAGTTCTAAAATAGTTATAAAATATATTATTAAAGATAGTAAATCAAGAAAAATAGAAACATCTATAGAAACAAATAATATTGAAGACTATTTATTTAATTTTAATGATGTTACTCAATCTGATTATTCTGAACAACCTTATAAAGAAATGATGTTATATATGTTGGAAGATTTATATAATTTCAGGCATGGTGAAAATTTTTTAGGATTAGCATTAAATGTAAAGGATAACATATTTGTAGAAAAATTATTTGATTCCTGTCTTAAATATTTTCAAGAGGATACTGCAACAAATATTAGTTTATTAAAAATAATTATATCAGAATTACCA